TCGAGTGAGAGAGAAAGAAAGATATATATATATATATATATATATATATATATATATGCAATTGAATATTAGTGAGGTATAAAAATAATAAAAGCATGAAAATCTCAGGTGAATTGAATTGATGGCGTTAAAAAACATCCTGAGTGAAGAAACCCAGATCCCAAAACAGAAATACAGTATGTATTTACTTCTATGTGGATGTTAACTATTAAGTTTTCAATAAGCAGGCTTCAATTCATATAATCATAGAAGTAGTTAATATGCACTATGTAGGTATATAAAACAAAGAATAAGCTAAATAAAATTGTTTAAAAAATACAAAAAGTGAGGAAAATTTGTACATTAGTCAAATGAAAGAAAACTCATGATATGCATCTTTTTAGTCTGGTTTCGTAATTCTCTTAGCACGATGATCTCTAGTTCCATTAATTTTCCTATGAATTTCATATAATTGCTTAAGGAAAATAATGCTTCTCTATGTGCATGTTTTTATTGATCTACTGATGGATGTTATGCTTAAGACATTAAAAATCAGAAAGAGCACAAGTAAATGACTTAAGAATGTGGCTCAAATTTTTGAAAAACATGAACAAAACAAAACAAATATAAACCCAGCACATTGTGGGAAAATATAAAAATCAGGGCAGAAATCAATGAATAGAAACAAGGTATACAGTACAAAGGATTAAGCACTCTAAGATCTTATTCTTTGAGAAAATAAACAAGATTTAGAGATCCTTGGACCAACTAACCAAAGAGAAGAGAGAGAAAGAGAGAGAGAAATTGCCTAAATTAACATAGTCAGAAATGAACAAAGAAACATTGCAACAAACGCCACAGAATTCAGGACAGTATAAAGGAATATTTTTAAAAGTTTATGTCGCATTAAGCCGAAAAACATAAAAGAAATGGATAGATTTCTAGATTCAGCCAAATCATGAAAATTAAACCAAGAAGAAATCAACAATCTAAACACACCTACAATAAATGACAATATTGAAATAGTAATTCAGATCTTCCCTACATAAAAGAAATATAGACAAAACCCTAAAGCACTTTTAAGGGAGATCTTCCACTCAACCTTTTTAAACTATTCAGAAAAATAGAAATGGAAAGATCACTTCCAATCTCTGTCTACAAAGTCAGTATGAGGACTCTAATCCAAAAAGCAGGTAAAACCCTTAGGAGCCCTCACCCTCCCTGGAGAGTGAATTGGGGTAGAATGAGGAATTGGTAGGGGGCATGAGAGGATAGGAGGAAGAGGGAATGAGAATAGGTATGTAAAATAAGATTGTTTTTAATTTAAATAAAAATTTATTAAAAAAATAACAAAACCAATAAAAGCCAATATACCTGACAAACAGCACTGTAAACATCATCAATAAGATGATGTTTGTTCACAGGATAAAGACATACATAAAAACGATTGTCCACCATGACCAAGTTAGCTTTATCCCTGGGACACAGAAATGGTTCAACACATCCAAGTTAATAAGTGCAATAAACCACATAAATAGACAAAAAGACAAAAATCATGTGATCATCTAAATAGATGCAGAAAAGGCTTTTGACAAAATGCAGCATTTCTTCATGATAAAAATCTTTGAGACAGGCTCCTGGGATGTCAGCATGGAGGCATTCGCAGATTTGGACCTCAGAGTGGGCTGGGATTTGAAGGCTCTTCACGGACTGGTGGAGATGGCTGCTCACCTTGGATATTCAGTTTTGCCGTCAATCATATTGTTGGCTTTAAGGAAAAGAAACAGGAAATTGAAAAGCCAGTAGCAGTTTCTGAACTCTTTACAACTTTACCAAATGTACAGGGAAAATCAGGACCGATTAAAATTTTAACTAGATTGACAATTATAGTGACAGATCTGTCTCACTATAATATTTTCAGAGCAACTTCTTCAAGAGTCTGGCTGTATGATATTGTTGCACTGTTTCCAAAGACAGAAAAACTTTTTCATGTTGCTTGTGCACATTTAGATGTGGATTTAGTCTGTATAACTGTAACAGAGAAATTACCATTTTACTTTAAAAGACCCCCTATTAATGTGGCAATTGACCGAGGTCTGGGCTTTGAACTTGTCCATGGACCTGCTATCAGAGACGCAACGATGAGAAGGTACACAATTTCCAATGCCCTCAATTTCATGCAGACCTGCAGAGGAAAGAATGTAATCCTGTCCAGTGCTGCAGAGAGGCCTCTGGAAATCCGAAGACCATATGGTGTGGCGAACCTAGGGCTACTATTTGAGCTGTCTGAAAGTGAAGCCAAGGCTGCAGTTTCCACTAATCGCCTAGCTGCATTTCGCCACGAAGAAACTAAGAAAACTGCTTTGGGGATTATTTCTACAGTGAAAAAACGTCAGCCATCAGAAGTGGATGATGACTGTCAACCAGCTTGCAAGAAAGCTAAATGTGAGGGCTGAGAAGGCCTCGGTCTCCAATCAGTGGCTTCCTCTTTTATAACTCATCAGTCACAGTGGAAGTAAACTTCAGCTGAGTTGATATTTTCATTAAAGCCAGAAACTATAGAAGTCAGTAAAAACAGCTTGATAGTCAGACTATTAAAACAGCAAATAAAACCCAGTGATGCAGTCAAAAAAAATCTTCAAGTCATACCTTAACATAATATAAAACTTATACATGAAAAACTCACAGCCACCATCATCTTAATGGGGGTTAAAAAAAAAAAAACTTAAAGCAGTCTCACTGAAGGTAGGGATAGCACAGAGATTATCTCTGTTCACACTCCTTTTCAGTTCTGTGATCAGAGTACTCACAAAAGCAATAAACCAATAAGAGAAAATTAAAGGCATAAAAATAGGGAAATAAGAAGTCAAACTATCCTATTTGCTGATGGCATGATACTAGAGATCACAAAAGTTCTGCCCAGGAATCTTCCAGAAGCAATAAGCAAAATCAAAAATATGGCAGGACACTGAATCCACTTGTCTAAATCAACAGCTTTTCTGTACACAAAGGAAAAAAAATACCAAGAAAGAAATCATTACCAGTCATATTCAAAAATACAGAGAATGAAATCATTAACATATTCATGTTCAAAATAGCATTGAAGACAATAACATATCTAGGAATAAATCTAACCAAAGATGTTAAAAATCTCTACAATGAAGAAGAGATGGAGAATGGATACTAGAAAATAGAGAAACATCCCAATCTCATGAGTCCTTAGACTGAGTATTTTGAAAATAACCAATTTACCAAAAGCTAATTAATTACAGATTCAGTGCAATCCCAACCAAAATCATTTTCATTCTTCACTGGAAAGAGAGAGAGAGAGAGAGAGAGAGAGAGAGAGAGAGAGAGAGAGAGAGAGAGAGAGAGAGAGAGAGAGAGAGAGAGAGAGAGAGAGAGAGAGAGAGACAACAAAAAAACAAAAAGAGAGAGAGAGAATCTCCTAAAATTCAAATAGAACCAAAAAGATCTTGGAGAAGAAAACAGTACTAAGGAAAAAAAACAATGCTGGATGGGTTACTATTCCAGAATTTATGATACGTTACAGAACCATGTTTATAAAACAATATGGTACTGACACACAAAAATCCAGATATATAAAGCAGTAGAACAAAATCGAATAATCAAACATGATGACACATGACTTAATCAAATTAATATTTGACACAGATGCCATAAATAAGATGGAGAAAAAGCACCATGGATATTCACCTGTAAAAGAATTAAATTGGATGAATATATAGTACCTTGCACAAAAACTAGCCTGAAATGGATCAAAAACCTAATGGTGAAACCAGAAACACTGAAGCTGCTAGTAGAAAACATAGGCAATACCCTACAGTATAAAGGTTAGGAAAGAACTTTCTGAATAGGACTCCATCTGCCTAATAATTAATGCCAACAATTGACAAGTGGGGTTTTATAATAGAAAGCTACTGCACAGCTAAAGAAACACTCCACAGGGTGAAGTAGAAATCCACAGAAAGGGAGAAATTCTGCCTACTCTACATCTGACAGAGGATTATTATCCAGAATACATAAAGAACTAAACCAAAAAAAAAAAAAAGAACAAACAGCAACAAAACAAAAACATGGTTTGACCAGCTTTAGAAGTCTAGCTGTGGGTAAGTCCATTACTGATTCAGTCATGAGGTAATGTTGGGTAGCAAGATTATCTGTACTTAGAGATTTAGTCAAAGCATTTAATTGGGAAAAAGGCATAGAAGACCTGCTTTTTCTTTAGGTGGACAAATCCCCCTCCCCCAAATCATGGCTTTTTATTTTAGTACATAGACTTTCCTCAAGTTAAAGAATTTTTAGTGTATTCAGGCATGGTGATTGCTATCTAGAGAGTAGCTCACTCCGGATCTGTTCTCCTCATCAATGTAATCACATCTTGGGATTGTCTTACAACAATGACAGTACTCAAAGGCAGAACTGACAAATAATAAATATCTTCTCCTAATCATAAAACTGTCACAAGCATGGAACTTCACAAAAGCATTTACAACTGCTTTGGAACAGACAATTTACATTTGCATAAATTAAATTCATTCTTGTCCTAGAATACTCTTTAATTTTTATTAACTGAGGGCTATTTCTGTTATTTGTGTGCTTGTGTTTTGTTTTCCAGTATCTTATGCTACTCAGTCTCTGGAGGAAGACTCCAATAAGACATTTCTCCATCATCTAATCTTATGGTAGACTGTACAACCGTGAACATAAATAGTCTTGCAGAAGAAAATTCAGTATAATGGCACCTACACCAGTGTCAGAGATGTTCATTCACAAGTTTTTCCCTTCACACAGCCCCTCTCATTCACTAAGGTGAAGAGTGATAGAAACCATTAAACCGTTAGGAAGCTATGAGTGTGAAGGCTTCCAACATGGGTGGTGACCCGTGAATCACAAAGCTCAACTAAAGAACCCAGAAGTTTGATTGTAGAATATGAAGTTTAGTGAAAGTAGTTACTATAAGCCATTCTGAACCTGTGATGTCACTGACACAGGTAAGAATAATTCCAACATACTATTCCCTTGTGTATTGTGGGCAATGGAACTAGAAACATGAGGTAGACACAGGAAGATCAGAAATATAGATTGCAATACTTAACATGGATTTTCCATACAATTAAAGGTAAAAAACTGCCTGGATATTAAAAAAAAATCCCTTTCCCCAATCCCACTAATTTAAAACTAAGATCTAATTTGAAAGATATTCCATACCCAAAAAAGGGGACCTCCCATCCAAGAACTAACCAAGCCCGACCCTGCTTAGCTTCCAAGATCAGACGAGATGGGGCACGTTCAGGATGGTATGGCCGACATATAAAACGGTTGTTTCTAAACAATAAAAAAAGAATGGGGAACCTCCATATTCTTAAATTTTTAATTCTGAATAATAGATGAGTTCAACAAAATAGTAGTGAAGAAATCCAGCCACTGCTTTTTACTTCCATGAATTTCAATATTTTATAAGTAAAGGAAAAGACAAAGAATACTGATGAGCTACTGTAAAAAAGAAAAAAAAATCTTTGGCTTTATCCAGTTTCAAGATTTACTATAATGAACACTATGTAAGTCCGGATGAGGATATTGTGAAGCCAAGAAGACTCAGTGAATAAAATGGAAGCTAGATGAGGGATAATCTGAAATTTGTTTAAAACACTATACCTTATGGCTTATTATTTGTGCTCCTGGGAGTTTATACAAATAAATTAAATACAAAACCTTATCTATAGAATAATTCACATATGAATATTTATAGTAGTCCTGTTACTGATAAAAGGAAATTTCCTCAGCAGTAAAAATTATGTTATCAGGAAACAGAAAGCCATGAAATAACTTCAATTTGTATCACTAGCACTGATACTTGCTTGTATAATTCCAGCCATGTTATATACTAGAGAAGGTCAACTTATAGAATTATTTACTGAGGGGTATTTCTATGGGTCTTTGGCTAGTAGGGGTCTTTTGTGTATTTGTAAATTATTTGATTTTAACTTAGGCAATTCTATCTCTCAAGGAAGTAACTTGTACAACAGTTCTCCATTATCTAATCACAAAGGATCCACACCAGCTTGAAACCACTCTTTTTTTCTTCTTGGTTGTGGTTCAATAAATAAGTCTTCAGAATATTTTCTGAAGCTATTCCTTCAATTGGCCAACATTGAATCTATGAATTATACACCCCGACAAACTCCTTGTTCTATAATTTCCCTTGGTTGTGGTATTTCCTTGTATCAGTAGAACCTTATTTATTGAACCTTATTATTATTATCAATATCTTTCACTGAACCTGAATTTCACCATTTTGCCTAGGCCTGCTGGCCAGTGATTACTAATGTACCTTCCTATACACAGTCACACTCAAGTTATTTGGCCACTGCTGACTTTTACATGGATGATAGAGATTTGAATTCAGGTCCTTTTATCCTCACAGACATTAAACATTTCCACTGAACCATCTCCTCAGCTCATTCATCTTCTGTTTTTATTATTCTCAAGTCAACCCAACTGTGAAAAACCCAACCATTGGAACTGGAGAGATATCTTGGTGGATAAGAGAAGTTGTTCTTGCAGAGGATTCGGGTTCAATTGTCAGTACTCACATGGCAGATAACAAACATCTGTAAGTCTGGTTCAAGGGAATGTGAAGCCGTCTTCTCACCTCTGTGAGCACCAAACACACACGGTATGCATACATTCAAGGAAACACTCACACATAAATAAATATAAACAAAATATTTTTAAATAAATAAAAAACCAACTATCATTTTATGCAAACGTGCAAAGCACTGATGATATTATCAACAAAACAGACTACAAGAAATAACTGTTGTTACCAACAAGCACTTCCATATATTTACTTATATTTTATATGTTTATAAATGAATGGTGCCCTTGGAATCTATGTGAATAGGTGTTACAGTTTATTTAATAATATAGTCATAAATAATGTAATGTAATTATCAAGTTTATATTAATATAAATACCATTACTTAGATTCACACATTTGCCACACTCTTCCCATTTATGCTCTCTTCTCTCCTAATTATTTACTTTTAGATCAGGTTTTGAAATGATTATTAGCTTTTACTTTTGTTTAAACACTTTTGAGCTAATAGAACAATGTTAATGGCTCTTCTTTTCCTTGAGCCAAGAATTACAAAACACTGTGTTTTATTCACAGACTCTTCATGACATTGGATGTGAGAAGAAATGAAGATTTACTGCGTCCAGAATGTCTGTAGCATCTGATTAGACATTAGCAGTCCCTGATTTACAAAGTTGCATGGTTTATCAGAAGATGCTGAAAATAGACTTCACAGAGAAACCTTGGATTTTTTCATTTGTTGCTTTTTAGTCAGTTTTAATTTTAACTTATTTTATTAATTGTAAAATAGTATCAGATAAGTTTTAGCCAGGCTCCCTAGGCTATAGTCAAACACAGGTTAGAGAAGCTCAAACTCATTCTAGCTGTGTGGTATATGAGAAGCAGAGAGCTGTATTTATACTACAAAAGACCTGAAACTCAAGTCAAGACAGAAAAAATGCAACATTTATTTATTTATTTATCAAGAATTTCATATATGAATATAATATTTATTTTCTGAGTTCCATCTCCCTTCTTTAACTCCTCCCATGTAACTCCACTCCTCAAATTCATTGCCTCTTATGATTAATTTGATTAATTTGATAAGGGTTGCTCATATGTATATGTATTTAAGGGTGATTACTATGGGATTGGAGAATCTGTCAAGGACCTCATCCCTGGAGAAAACTAATTCTCCCTCTCTCAGCAGGCATTAATTTTCTATAGTTTTGTCTAGAGGTTAGGACCCAGGAGACATTCCCTATCAAAACTGACATGCCAAATGACATTACCATTTTTCAGGTCTTGTATTGATATGCATATTATTGAGATTTATGGTTTAGTCTCCACATAATAATTAGAATACATTACTACAAAAAGGATATCCTGATCCTATAGCTCTTACAATCTTCTTCCCTATTCTATGTAGTGGTTGCTTCCTGAACCTTTGGTAGACACATTGCATCATGGGTTTTTAATTTGTGCCAAGTATCCCACAATTAGTTATTCTCTGCATTTTGACAAGTTTTGGTTCTGTAATGGTTCATGAGACAAAAAAGTAGCTTCTTTAATGAGGTATGGACAACACTAAACTAGAAGTATTTGTAAAAGCCATAGAGAACCTTATAGTTTTATATTTTCTTAAAATGATGCATATCTGAATGCATGCATACATATATGTTTAAATGGAGCCACACCACTTTGGGTAACTGCTTTTTCCCTCAAAGCTATAGACTGTCTATCAAAAGCCTAGTGGGTTGGGGAAACTTTCTTCTGAGTTGCTGGCTGGGGATTCCAAGCAACACTCCAAAACCATGTATGTTTTTGCTACTGTGTTTGGTTACCTCCCAGGAAGTGACAATAAGACTCTATTGGTAAACCTCCACACACTTTAGGCATGAGACTTAAAGGAAGTGAGCTAGACCTTACATGAAAGACTTCTCCCTGAAGTTGGTATGGATTTGCCAAAGGATAGAAGCAACTCATAGTCTTCCCCAGCTGAAACACTCAGGAGTCACGACAATTACCAGACTGGCAAGATATCCCAAAGAGATGCAATAGTGACACTTAAAGCCTGGGGTCATCAGCAATTGTCTATTTAGATTTAAGACTTGATCAATGCTTGATGCAGCAAACCTGATCCTTTTCCCTTTGAGTCTGAGACCCTAGAGAAGAATATATTACTGCTGCTTTCCTAAACCAATATTATCTGGAACTGCTTTCTAAATAATTAGCCTTTTCCCTGCAGGTAAGTGTAGCTCTCAAATCTCATCAAAGTCTCCCTGTTCTTAATGTTTCAGTTTTACATTTATAATGTTTCTTATACATGCCTTATACTGAACTATATATAATTAATACATAATAACATATAATTATTTATTATATATTCAGCTATAAGGTACACCACTGTTGACAACTCTATCATAGGCACAAAATTTCTTATTTTTTACTGTGAAGACTCATGAAATTATAGGTTTTCTCCTTTTCAAATGGCCATGTTGACACATTGTACAACATGCTCTACAAAGATATTTCCCTAATTTTCTTAGACACACTCTAGTCATCTGTATAGGATTCAGTAGCAAGCAAGAAAGAAAAAGAGTGAAGCCTGGCTTCCAGAACTGATAACAATCCCATTAAAATTTATGTTGAAATTACTGAGAATATTCCCTTGCTAAGAGGGTTGAGCAGATTTCAAATGGTAAGTGGCCTTGGAAACAGGTCAGTCTCTTATGAAAAGAAGGTTTTAAGGTGAACCATTAACTCGACTACTTCTACATCACATTACTGAAAAGCAGTTCGATTTCTGATGGATTGGGAATATTCCAGGGGTCAAATGGATTTGAAGAAAGTATATTTTGCAAGACACACATTATCTCATAGTCATTTCAGGAACTGCCTGGAAAAGTGGTCAGTCAAGCCTCCCATGGGCTGAATTCCCATAAAAGAAAGAGCAAATTTTCTTTAGCATATAAGGTCAACAATTGTAGGACACTTTTGAGAGACTGTTCATTTATCTTATAAAAATAAGACTTTGCCTGGGCATGGCAACACAGGACCTTGGACCCTGTACTCTGGAAGAGTCCAAAACAAGAGAATCTGGGAGTTCAGATGCCTTCTGGTCTATGTTGGAAGTTCCCCCAATGAAAGAAAAGAAAGGAAAATAAAGGAAAAAAGAGGAGGAAAGAGAAAGAAAGCAAGAAAGAAAGAAAGAAAGAAAGAAAGAAAGAAAGAAAGGAAGGAAGGAAGGAAGAAAGAAAGAAAGAAAGAAAGAAAGAAAGAAAGAAAGAAAGAAAGAAAGAAAGAAAGACAATGTTGGTTGGTTCCGGGAAATTCAGAAAATGGATACTTGCCTTTATATATAATCTAATTGGATTTAGGAGCAAACACATTCATAGATAGCCCAGAGACAATGGTATGGGAAATTCAAGCACTATCTTAATTCAGTTTTTCATGAACACAAGAGGTAACTGTTAGAATTATGTTTCTAAAAATATATATGAAGATTAATATCCTCAGAGAAGAAAGAAAGTGATTAAAAGCCTACAATAAATTGATGTCCAACTGGGATTTGGAATGCCTACAAAGATGGAAGAAATTTTCCATTATAATGGATACAGTTTTGGCTGCAACATGGAAACTTAGAGGTTTCATTGTTACTGATTTTTAGCAGTCTATAATCAGTTCATTTTTGGCTGTGATCCAGGGGTTATTTGATGTTTTTAAATTACTAGGCAATTTGTGATTCAGAAAAAATTAATTTTCTGTGTTACTTTTGTAGGCAGAAAATACAGGCTGCATAATTTATTTCTTTACAAATTATTTACGGTTTTGATAACTATTTAAATTAATTACTTGTATTTTGCAGGTACTAGGAAAAGTGTATATTATTTACTAACATGGAACAAATGTGTAAATAGGCTGTATGACTAATAAACCAGGGCATTTTTCTATTTTTTCACTACATTTCCTTTAACCCTATGTTCAGATTTTTGGGAAAGTACAAGAAATTATATAATTACTATGATTGTTTTGGTACTGGTGGTTGTTGTATGAACAAAAAGGCAATAGCCTGAATCGAAGACCCAACCTGTTGGACTAGAACTCTGGTGGCCATTCCTGACCTTTCATCTCTATAAATGTGATAAGGTCTTTTGGGGTCTGGAAGAGCAAGAGTGGGGGCCAATAGAAGGGCATCTGGCAGTAGAGAGAAGTGGTGGTAGCTGGATGGTTGAGAGCTGCATTGGGGTCTCTCTGGCTGCCTGGTACAGGGTCTTGGCTGTAATGGCCAAGTTCAGGATCCAGGCATGGAAAAATCCCATCAGGCCCAGAAATGAGAGAATCTGAGCTGCTGTGGTTGGGACTGTAATGTGTGTTTTTCTGGCCCAGCATTTCCCCGGCCCTTGAGCTCCCAAATAAATACACAGAAGCTATATTAATTATTAATATGGTTGGCCAGTGACTATGGCTTCTTATTTGCCAGCTCTGACTAAATTATTAATGCATAACTACTAATCTAAGTATTTTCATGTGGTTTTCTCTTACCAGAGAAAGGTCCAGGCCTCTTACTCCACTGAGGTCTACATGGCATCTTATGTGGTAACTGACTCAGTATGTCTGCATAGAAGAGAAGGCAGGGATTTCTTGTTTGTTCCTGCTTATATTCTGATTCTGCCCTGCAAGTCACTTCCTGCTTGGCCAATCAGCCAATCAGTGTTTTATTCATTAACCAATAAGAGAAACATATACACAGAAGTACTTACCCTATCAGGGGGCCATAAATCCCACAGGGCCTGACCCCATCAGAGGTGAGGGTCTTAGTACCAGGGCAGAGTTGAACACCTAAATAAAGCACAGTGAGAGAGAATAGCTGAGCCTTAACTGGTGAAACTTGATATCCCAGGAATCTGAGGAAGTTCAGGAACAAAGAGGTGGCCGCTGAGACACAGGCAATGTGGGACTGCAGAGAAGGAGATCCTCAACATATTAGAGAAGTGTACCAGGATCAAAGGTAGAGAGATCATGAGCTGGGGCATGGCCAAGGAAATGAGGGCTGTCCCAAAAGCCCTGAGGGAGAAAAGTCCATGTAAGCTGTTTGGAGGACCGGATGTCAGGGTGCTCTGAGGTGATGGCAAGGAGGTAGTATGAGTCAGATGCACAGTTCACTTTTTCCATTTTTTTCTCTTTCTCTTCAACAAGGTGGCCGAGCGGACGCTAACATGCAGAGCTTTGTGAAAACCCTGACAGGCAAGACCATCACTTTTGAGGTAGAGCCCAGTGACACTATCGAGAATGTCAAGACCAAGATCCAAGATAAGGAAGGCATTCCACCTAACCAGCAGAGACTGATATTTGCCGGTAAGCAGCTGGAGGATGGACGCACCCTGTCAGACTACAACATATAAAATGAGTCCACCTTGCACCTGGTGCTTCGCCTTCATGGTGGCATCATTGAGCCATCCCTTTGGCAGCTTGCCCAGTACAACTGTGACAAGATGAAATGCCGCAAGTGCTATGCACGCCTGCACCCCTGTACAGTCTACTGTGGCAAGAAGTGCAGCCACACCAACAACCTGCACCCCAAGAAGGTCAAATAAAGCTTTGGCCATACCAGGCCCGTGACCCTGGGACCAAATAAAGTCCCCTTCCATCGACTGGGAAAAAATCTTTTTTTTTTTTATTTCTTCCAAGAGTTTTCAAGTTTTTCTTCTTTCTCTCCATTTTTAATTTAAATTCAAAACAAGATTATTTTACATGTCAATCCCAGTTCCCTGTGCCTCCCCTCCTTTCCTGCCCCCCTCAAATAATACCCTACCTATCCCATACCCTTTCCCTAGCCCAGGGAGGGTGAGGCCTTCTGTAGGGGGGTCTTCAGAGTCTGTCATATCCTTTGGGATAGGGCCTAGGACCAGCCCTTTGTGTCTAACTAGGCTCAGGGAGTATCCCTCTATGTGAAATGGGCTCCCAAAGTCCATTCCTATGCTAGGGATAAGTACTGATCTACTACAAAAGGCCCCATAGATTTCAGAGGTCTCCACACTGAAACCCACGTTCCTGGAGTCTAGATTAGTCCCATGCTAGATATATTTGCAGTGGTGACCCTCTGACTTCTCTGCAACTGGATACCAGTTCAGTTCATTGATTAGTTGTGGATGTCTGCTTCTACTTCCACCAGGTGCTGAATGAAGGCTATAGGATAGCATGTAAGTCAGTCATCAATCTCATTATCAGGGGAGGGCATTTAAGATGGCCTGTACTCTGTTGCTTACATTGTTAGCTGGTGTCATCTTTGTAGATCTCCAGACCTTTCCCTAGTGCCTGATTTTTTTTAAAAGTGCCTATAATGTCTCCCTCTCTGATGGTATCTCCTTTCTTGTTTTCTTCTATTCTTCCCCAACTCAACCTTTCTGCTCCCTCATGTCATCCTCACCCCTTTTCTTCTCCCCTTCTCATTCTCCTTCCTTCTTCCCTCCCCCCTCTTCCCTTGCTCCCAATTTGGTCAGCAGATCTTGTCCCTTTCCCCTTCTCCAGGGGATCATGTATGTCTCTCTTAGGGTCCTCCTTGTTTACTAGCTTCCCTGGCAGTGTGGATTGTAGGCTGGTAATCCTTTATTCTATGTCTAAAATCCACATATGAGTGAGTACATACCATGTTTGTCTTTTTGTGATTGGGTTACCTCACTCAGAATGGTTTCTTCTAGTTCCATCCATTTGCCTGGGAATTACAAGATTCCATTGTTTTTTTTTGTTTTGTTTTTTTTGTTTTTTTGTTTTTTGTTTTTTTCTGAGTAATACTCCATTGTGTAAATGTACCACAATTTCTCTATCGATTCTTCAGTTGAGGGGCATCTAGGATGCTTCCAGGTTCTGGCCATAACAAATAGTGCTGCGATGAACATTGTTGAACAGATGTCCTTGTGGTATGAATGTGCTTCTTTTGGGTATATGCCTGAAAGTGGAATTGCTGGATTTTTTGGTAGACTGATTCCCATTTTTCTGAGGAGTCCCCATACTGATTTCAACAGTGGTGGTACTAGTTGGCATTCCTACCAGCAGTGGAGAAGTGTTCCCCTTTCTCCACATCCTCCCCAGCATAAACTGTCATTGATGTTATTGATTTCAGCCCTTCTGTCATGAGTAAGATGTTATCTCAAAGTTGTTTTGATTTGCATTTCCCTGATGGCTAAGGTTGTTGAACACTTTCTTATGTGTCTTTCAGCCATTTTAGATTCCTCTATTGGGAATAATCTATTTAGTTCTGTACCCCACTTTTTAATTGGATTGTTTGGTGTTTTGGAGACTAGCTCCTTGAGTATTTTGTGTATTTTGGAAAACAGTCCTCTGTCAGATGTGGGGTTGGTGAATATCTTTTCCCAGTCTGTGGGCTGCAGTTTTGTCTTCTGACTGTGTCCTTTACCTTACAACAGTTTCTCAGTTTCAGAAGGTCCCATTTATCAATTGTTGATCACAATGTCTGTGCTACTAGTGTAATGTTCAGGAAGCAGTCCCCTGTACTAATTAATTCAAGGGTGTCTCCTATTTTGTCTTCTAATAAGTTCAGTGTGGCTGGATTTATGTTGAGGTCTTTGATCCATTTGGACTTAAGTTTTGTGCATGGCAATAGACATGGATCTATCTGCAGTCTTCTACATGCCAGCATCAAGTTATGCCAGCACCATTTCTTTATTCCATCATATAAATTTATCTTCTTTATCAAAAATCAGGTGTTCATAGGTGTGTGCGTTAATATCAGGGCTTTCAACTTGATTCCATTGGTCTACCTGTCTATTTTTGTTCCAATACCAAGCTGTTTACAGGACTATAGTTCTGTAACAGTGCTTGATGCCAGGTATGGTGATGAGTCCTGAAGTTCCTTTATTGTACAGGGTGGTTTTGGCTATCCTGGGTTTTTTTTTGTTTCTCCATATAAAGTGTGAATTGTTCTTTCAAGGTCTGTGAAGAATTGTGCTGGGATTTTGATGGGGATTGCATTGAATCTGTAGATTGCTTTTGGCAAGATTGCCATTTTTACTATGTTGATCCTACCTATCCAAGAACATGGGAGATCCTTCCATTTTTTGGTATCTTCTTTAATGTCTTTCTTTAGAGACTCAAAATTCTTACAGTACAGGTCTTTCACTTTTTTGGTTAGTGTTACTCCAAGGTATTTTGTGTTGTTTGTGGAAATTGTAAAGCGTGATGTTTCTCTGATTTCTTTCTCCATGAATGTATCATCTGTATATAGGATGGGTACAGATTTTTTTTAGTTAATCTTGTATCCTGCCACTGGGCTGAACATGTTTATCAGCTGTAGGAGTTACCTGGCAGAGTTTTTTGGGTCACTTATGTAAACTATCATATCATCTGCAAACAGTGAAAGTTTGAATTCTTCCTCTCCAATTTGTATCCCCTTTATTTCCTCTTGCTCCCTTATTGTTCCAGCTAAAACTTCAAGGACAATATTGAAGAAATATGGATAGAGTGGACAGCCTTGTCTTGTCCCCGATTTTAGAAGAATTGCATTGAGTTTCTCTCCATTTAATTTGATGTTTGCTCTTGGCTTGCTGTATATTGCTTTTATTACATTAAGGTATGTTCCTATTATTCCTGATCTCTCCAAGACCTTCATCATGAAGGGGTGTTGGATTTTGTCAAAGGCTTTTTTGGCATCTAATGAGGTGATCATGTGGTTATTTTTTTTCCTTCAGTCTGTTTATATGGTGGATTACATTGATGGATTTTCATATTTTGAACTATCCTTGCTTCCCGGGATGAAGCCTACTTGTTCATGGTGCATGACTTCTCTGATGTGTTCTTGGATTCAATTTTTCAGTATTTAATTGAGAAATGTTGCAACCACATTCATGAAGGATATTGGTCTGTAGTTCTCTTTCTTAATTGTGTCTTTGTGTGGCTTGGGTATCAAGGTTATTGAGGACTCATAAAAAGAGTTTGGCAATGACCCTTCTACTTCTATTGTATGGAATACTTTGAGAAGAATTGGTATTAGCTCTTCCTTGAATTTCTGCTAGACTTTGCACTGAAGCCATCTGGCCCTGGGCTTCTTTTGGGGGGGGGGAGACTTTTGATTACTGTTTCTATTTCATTAGGGGTTATAGGTCTATTTAAGTTGCTTATCTGTTCTTGATTTCGTATTGGTAAATTAAATATATCCAGAAAATTGTCCATTTCCTTTAGATTTTCAAATTTTGAGGAATAAGGGTTTTCGAAATATGATCTGATGATTCTCTGGATTTGCTCTGTGTCTGTTGTGATGTCCTCCTTTTCTTTCATGATTTTATTTATTTTCATGTTCACTCTCTGTTGTTTTGTAAGTTTGGATAAAAGTTTTTCTATTTGTTTTTTTTTCTCAAAGCACCAATTATTTCTTATATTGATTCTTTGTATTGTTCCCCTAGTTTCCACTTTGTTGATTTCAGCCCCCAATTTGATTATATCCTGGCATCTATTCTTCCAGGGTGTATTGGCTTCTTTGTGTTCTAGAACTTTCAGTTGTTCTGTTAATTCTGTAGTGTGACTATTCTCCTGTTTCTTCATGTGGGCACATAGCTCTATAAACTTTCCTCTTAGCGCTGCTTTCAAAGTTTCCCATAATTTTTTGGTATGTTGTGTCCACATTTTCATTGAATTCTAGAAAATCTTTAATTTCTTTTTTTTTTTCATTTCTTCCTTGACCCAGGAATTGTGCAATTGGGTATTATTTAATTTCCATGAGTTTGTATGTTTTATGCAACTTGTGTTTTGTTGAATTCTAACTTGAAAGCATGGTGGTCTGATAAGATACAGGGGGTTACTTCAATTTTTTGTACCTGTTCAAGTTTGCTATGTTGCCAAATATGTGGTCGATTTTAGAGAAGATTCAATGTGGCACTGAGAAGAAGGTATATTGTTTTGTATTTGGATGGAATGTTCTGTAGATGTCTGTTAATCCCAGTTGAGCCATAACTTCTATTATTTCCTTTGTTTCTTTGATAAGTTTCTGTCTGGTGTTCCTGTCCATAGGTGAGAGTAAGGTGTTGAAGCTTCCCACTATATGTGTGTGATTTGAGTTTTAGTAATGTTTCTTTTATGAACATGGATGCCTTTGTATTTGGGGCATAAATGTTGGGAATTGAGACTTCATCCTGATGGATTTCTCCTGTGATGAGTAGGAAGTGACCTCCTCCATCTCTTTTGATTGATTTTAGTTTAAAGTCCAATTTGTTGGATATTAGGATTGCTACCCCTGCTTGTTTCTTGGGTCCATTTGATTGGAACATCTTTTCCCAACCTTTAATTCTTAGGTACTGTCTGTCTTTGAAGTTGAGGTGTGTTTCTTGTATGCAGCAGAAGGATGAATTCTGTCTTCCTATCCATTCTGCTAACCTGTGTCTTTTTATAGGTGAGTTAAAACCATTAATATTGAGGGATATTAATGACCATTGATTGTTCATTTTTTGTTGTGGTTTTGGTGGTGGTGGTGAAATTATGTGTGGGATTCCATCCCTTTTTTCTTTTCCTGTTGGTAATGTGGGATTATCTACTGCTTATATTTTTCTGATTGTAGTTAAATTCCTTGGGTTGCAGTTTTTCTTCC